TCCCAATCCCAAACACCAAAAGTGACACAGCTCAGCCAGCACAGCCCAGTATCTCAGAGATGGGAGGGCAGGGGTGAAGGATCTGTCCAGCTTTGGTTGGACAAGGGTTTTGGAAGGATCACCCTCACACTTCTGCTCTTCAGACACTGCAAGCTGGTCAGGGCTGGACTTTTTCAGGTTCCTACCTCATGCACTGTACAGAGGGAGAAGGGGCTGCTTCCAACCAGGGAATGGTTGATTCTTTGTTCTCTAACACTGCTGCCTTCCCCACACTGACACAGAGACCCACCAAGGGGGGCTTTGCAGGAGATTCAGGTTCCCCAGCTGCAAAGGGACAGCAAAGCCTAGCAGACACCCTGTCAGGGAAGCCTAAGAGCAGCTTTGTTCCCTTTCCTTCCCTTCCCTTTATCTCGCACACAATGGCACGATTCAGCAGGTGTTAAATGTTTTAATGGGATTCAGGATAGCTTCTGTTGCCCACCTGCCCCAAGGCCATTTCACCCCTCCCTGGGAGCCAGGAGTAACAGCCCAGAAGAAAGTGTCTGTTGTGTGGTGCATTAACTGCCTGATCACTGAGTGCTCCCGATAATTCGCACAAGGAGAGGGGGAGTCCCATTAGCTTGCCAAGCTCCTGCTCAGCCATAGGCGTGCTGCCTGTATAGCTGCCGGGAGCCTGGCCTGGCTACCGACCCCAATCCCATGGGAACATCACCCATTTCACTGCCCAAACACCAGGGGGAAGAAGCAGGACCTGCACCTACAGTATTTCTGTTGGAGAGATGTGCAATAGAAACGTAGCTCTGTTGAGCAGTGGCCAAATCCAGACCTGGGAGACAGTACAAGAAGCTCAAACTTCCTTTTGCCTGAGACCCAAATGTCATTAGCAGACACGGGATTTCTCCCCTCTTTTGGTGCTGAGCTGGGCTGTGAGTCTATACTCCCACAAGTTCATTGCCCTTGGCAGTGGCTACCAACAAAACCTCTGGCTAAGAAAAAGTGCCTCCCTGCCAGCTCTGCACATCTCTGCCCCCCCCTCACCTCCCCATTGCCCCAAAGATCCGAGAGAGAGAAGCCCCTGGGTGAGAAACCCACACTGTAGGCTCCACACTATGCAGAGCTCACCCCCAGCACTATTTGGGAAAGTTGCTGTCTCTCTTTGCTAACAGGACAGTGATGTGGCCTGGTCAGACATTGGAGTGTTTTCCAAAACTAGGGTCAGGGTCTAGTTCCCAGTCTGAGAAGAGGAATTAGGAATTTCCCAAACCTGGAAAAGAGGCTGTCCCTGGTGAATTTATATTTTAGGATGAGGATAAAAGAAGAAAAGTGTGTGACAGCTGCTACTCTCTTTGCATACTGCACTCAGAGTGGTTCTGGTTGACAGGCACCAGAGAAGACCTACAACAGAGGTGACACACCACCCATCATCTCACAGCCTCTAAAAAGAGCTGAGAGAAGAAAAATTTCTCTCTCACAGGTGTAAATAGCTCTCAAATCTGTTTCCCTGACTCACCTGTTTAAGGCATCTTCTTTGAGACCTCACCTACTAGAGTGATGCTTATCAAACAAGTGAATTTCCCTCTAATAGTGCTCCAACAGGCAAGCAGAGTGTGACTTCTGTTTTCTCCAGGTCCAGGCTGGCAGCACAGGAAAGTGAGGAGAACAGGAGCTTTAATGGCATAAAAAATTCCCTGCACATTTGATAGCACTCAGGTTCTCACAATTTCTTTTTGGATGTTACACCAGACTAACACACAGCATTTCCCATGTCAGCTCCTCCAGGTAGTGGATGCAATGGTGCAGCTGCAGTGGTGCAGCCTAACGAGCATTAGATCACACAGCAGGTCTGAGGATGGACAAACTGACTGACCCTGTCTTCACTGCTGCATGCTGCCCTTGGGTACCCGGATTCAACCTGCTTTAGGGCAACAGCGAGTTTCTGCCCCTGCCTTTGCTATCCATTTGGGAACTTTCTTGCAGGACAGCAGAGCATCTGCAGAGAGCAAATCCTAGCAAGGAGCCTGGACAAAGAATAATCAGTCCAAGTGGACTGAACAGCCAGGCCCTGCTGCTGCCTTGAGGTGTGAAGGAAGGAAGTGATTCTGCATTACCTGTTCAGCACTAGGCAAAGCCCCAAGGAATACAGAAAGACTGCTGTGATGTTAGGAGACCTGGCATGCAGAGTATTGGGAAGGGAGGAGAGGGTTTGCACTTCTCATGAGAAGGATCCAGGACCCATGTGAAGGCCCAAGGCACTCAGGCCGAGTTCAGGAGCTGGCAGTGCCTCGCTGTATCTCTGACAACAGGAACAGCTCAGCCCTGGGGCTTAGTAACAGTTACGCACACAGGGCTCCTGCACAGAGAGGAGCGCTGGGGTGAAGTTGGGTGAGCTGCAGTACCCCAGGCACAGCAGGCAACTGCCCTCTGCTGAGCGAGGCAAAAGCCTTCCACAGTGCCTTTTGCACAGTCTTCTCTTAAGATGCGAAGGAAGATGCAGCTCTGGTCTTGGCTGGGTCCTGGTACTGGGAAACAAGGCATGAGGGTTTGGAGGGAGACACCAAAACTGCACCCTCACCAGAGCTGGGTGGCTGCGTGAGCCTCATATTGCAGAGTCCATAGTGCAACGACAGAACAGGGGATGTGCACAGCTTGGCACAGCCACCCTGCAGCTCCTGCCCGGGAGCAGCAGCTGGAACCCAGCACCAGCCTGTTCTGTGCTGGCCACTGGGATTTCTCACAACTCACGCTGCCACCTCCCGGCTGTGACAAACATGCTCCTTCACTGTGACACCCCTTGCAGCCTGACGGACTCGGCAGGCCAAGCCAAGGCTCAGAGGATCCCCCTCCCTAGGTGACAGCCTTGCAGTTTGGAAAGGGAAGACCTTGTCCAGGGCTCCCAAATGCAGACGCATGAATTACGTATGTTACACACGGTGTCGGTGTCTGAAGGTCAAGTTGCTTTTATTGGCTTGCCGCGTGTACTGATTGTGCTGCAGCTGCCCCCTCGGGCTGCTCGCTGTAAAGGGAACCTGCAGTCGCCACTGGAGCAAGGAGGGGAGGAGGATTCAGTACCTGCATCCTGCTGATCCCTTCACCTCATTGCCCAAATGTCAGTCCTTCCTCAGCTACATTCCAAAGCAGATTCCACTCCTCTCAGCCGGTGCAGGCTAAGGATAGTGGGAATTGTCATAGTGGTTGTCCATGTGCTCCCTGTAGCATAGAGTTCTTTTCCGATGATGTGGCCAGCCACAGAAAGGAGGGATCTCATGAACTTTGCTGTGGAGTTGTCAGAGGATTCAAATTGGTGCTGAGAACATAATCAGGACATACCTCCTCAGAGAAAGCCAGCATTCTGAGCTAAGGTCATGGTGTGGGAGGGTCCGAGTTGCTCTGGACATCAAAGGGATGAAGAATGGAGAGAGCTGATGTGCTTGAGGAGCTTAAGCAGCACAGTATCCAGCAGTTATGCTCTGGAGGGTGGGGTTGCCGGGTTGGTGATTCTGAAGAAGAGATGGCAGCTCTGGAGATGACATCTACATCCAACAACCCCCTTCCATTAACCCTCAATCCCATCTCGCTGCACTTCTGCCCAAGATAGGGCAAGCCCTTATGCTTTTCACTCAAAAGTGAATTTCACACAAATCTATTCTCCCCACCAGTGGCCATTCCCTCTACTAAACTAGATCCCACACCACCTTGGACTATGAAAACTTTGCTCCCTTTCTGCTGTCAGAGGCTGTGCTGCCTGCTCCTTGACCCCTTTTCCCAAAGGACCATCCTTTTGCTAGGCTCTCCAGGGCCTCAGGCCTACCATTCACCCATAGGGCCCTACCCCAGAGCTGTATGAAGGTCTCAAGTCCACAGAAAGGCTGTACTGTTACCACCTCTGCTCTGTGGCTCCGGACAAGCCAAGAGGGGGCAGAGACTTTGGAAGTGGATTCTTCATTTTGCACAGGCAGCCTTGGCATTGATAGGCAGGGATTCAGCTAACCCACATGGTCTAGAAAATGGGCTGTTCTTCAACCTGACATGTTAAAGACAGGTTCTGTCCCCCACCAGAGCACAGATACACTCTGCTACCTTCGGGAGGCGTTGGGGGGTAAAGCAATGACCCTGGGCTGGGCTGTCAGCACCGCCTCCCCATGGCTGGCTTCGATCAGGATATTCTGCAGTATGTTTTCCAGCACGAGCTCCACAAGGTTCCCAACAGCTGGCTGCCTAGAAGGACAGAATTATAGCAGAGGACAGCTATCAGAAAGCAGATAAGGCAGGCTGCTTGCTGTGACTCCTGCCAGGAATCATCAGGCACAGCAGTGGAGCATACACTATTTCCTACACACTGAGACCAATGAACCAAAGACTTGAGCAATGGGTTGCTGACCCTTGTCCCAGAATTGTCACCAGCTGGTGTCAGGCTCTGACCTTAGACAAAGCTGGGTGACTATAGTTTTACTGGTTTCTCCCTCCAAGCTGTGCTGTAGCTGCTATTAGTAAATAATGCTTGTAGCTTGTAGAAGTCTACAAGGGAGCAGCCATAGCAAATGCAAGGTGGTGGAATACTGCAGTGAAAATAAGAGGTAAGGTAAGCACATACTGCACCCTAATATCTAATATGGCCTAGACTACCTGAGAGTAAAGTAGACATCGTTCACTACCAGCATCCTGGCACTGCCCACGGCTCAACCCCAGACACAGTAAACCTCTCCCTACAAACCACATTTGGGAGAGGGTGTCTAGGTGGGCATCAACTTCCACCCAGGCAACACATAACATACCAGCAGAAATGCTGCAGGGCTGAAGGAGAAAAGGATTTCTGGCCAGACAGTGTGCTGCCATGGCTCTCCTGACTGTGCAGCTCTTGGCTTTTATATGTGAGATCTTCCTCACCTACTTATGATCTCCTTTTCCATCAACTCCTTATGGTGAAAAGTCTTGCAAGACTCTGGCAAATCACTGGGAGAAGTTTCCTGATTAATTTTTTTCCTCTCTCCATCCTTCTCAAGGTCAAGATCTGTCGAAGAAGAGACCCTGGAGGGGAACGTAGAGCCCTGTCTACTGTCCTGGAGCTCTGCTGATTTTGCAGACTGGAACTGGGAGAAATATGGAATAGGTTCATCTTGGATTTTTCTCACTGACCTCTGGAAGTGGCCATCCTCCAAGAGGCTTCTAGGAAGAAGAAAATAAAGGATAATTCCAGCAAATTTGCCTATCTGTATGACCCAGAGGATTATTACAAGACACCACAAATCAGAGGAAATCACTGACTGATGTCAGTGTTTAGTCTGTAGCTTCTTGCTTTCTGGGCCTAAGGGAAGCAGCAAGAGGCCTTAAGCAGTGAAACTACCTCTGTTTTCCCAGTGCTGGTTCTTTACAATTGTGCAGCTCACAAACCGAATAGGTGCACCCCAACGCAGCCTGCTCCCAAGATAAGAGTAGGTAGAGTTCCCTGGTTCCTGGGAACTCTGGAAAGATGGGCTCAGCCCCTGGCTGGGAAGGAAGCCCCTGCCTTGGCTGTCACTCCAGGATCAGAGCTCATAGTCCCAAGACAGCTTTTAGCAGGTGGATCCCCCATTCTGGCAACAAGAGTGCACAGATTCCTCTAGGATTAGCAGAGATCTGACCATGCTGCACTCATTCTCTGGAGGACAGGGGCTCCAAACCAGGTGAGGGTGAAAGGACACACACCTGATGACACCTGTGAGTATGTCAGTCACCACCTCCAGCTCTTGTTTAGAAGCAGCAGCCAAGGACGGCTGTTTGAGCTCCACGTCCGTCCTGTTTCTGTGCCTACTTCCATCCACCAATTTGCTCTCTGAGGGCTGGGTGCTGAAAGGGCTGAGAAAGGAGGAGTTACTCAATCAGTGGCAGCATTACAGAACCAAGCTTTCAAAGACCAGCACCCTCCTAGCACTGCAGCAGCATGTCAGGCAAGCAGGGAAGGGGTGGGAGATGTCATATTTCTGACATGAGCAGGGACACTGTCATAAAAGTGGAACACTGAGCTCTGACAGCTGAGGTGGAGAGAGTAACAGGTCATGTCAGCTAATGCTGGGGAAAGCAAGACACCTTTTACTTAATTCTGAGGCACTGGAGAGGAGTAGAGTAGAGCACCAAGTTCAGTGCATATCAGAGCATGGACAGCCTTGGCTCAGATGAAGCTGCCAATCCAAAAAACTCTATCTCTTACCGGGATAAGAAGTATCTGTGAAAATCCAAGGCAAAGTTGCTGAGGAAGTCCTCAATAGCGTAGGACCTGGCTGACACATCTAGGTGTAAGGACAAGGGCATGGGAGGCTCTGGTTTGACCCACTCCTGGCTGGTGTCTTTGTCCAACAGCCCCTTGTCATTGTGTCCAGGTGGCTGACTGGGTGTAGGATGGCTTTTAATAGGAGGTAATGTCTGTTGGAGGGAAAGAAATGGCAGGCATATAGTTGGTCCTCTGGCCACAAGTAGGCTGGTGTAGGTTTGAGCACAGGCATGAGAACTGAAAGCCCAGCAACCAGACCCACTAGAGTGGGTGTCAAAATGATCTTAACACCACAGTATAAACAGGCATGAGCAGCCATAGTGGAAATCAGGTCTCTTTCTTTCTCACTGACCAGTGTGCCAGCCCCAAGTGTCAACAGGGCTTCAGGGTCTCCCTAGGGTACTTGGGGCTGTTGTTCTCCAGTCCATCACAGTGGAAGCTCTTGCAAGCACACCGGGAGTGCTGCAGGAGAAGTGACGTACATGGATGGAATGCATTGGGAAATTGTCCTCCTCTAGACCTGAAGGGAAACCAGGAACTGACTCCAGCCACACTACACGGGCCAGCTTGGGGTTGCATTACCAGCAGTCAGCTTGGGGGAAATTTCTTAGAGTAGTAGCCAGGATGCCTGGGCCAGAAGGACACCACAGAGACCTGGAGAAGTCCTTGGGCATCACAGGACTTCAGTGATCTATTAAATGAAACTGTTTTTACCTTTCTGCAGCCATCCTTATGCTCATCCAGTGAGTGCTTTGACCTGCATCACTGAGCACACCAAACAGCACAGGGAAAACAGACCAAGCTAGAGTTGCCCTGGACTGATTCCTTCATGCAGAACAGTGCAAGGCATGCAAAAGCACCCATGGGGTCTCAGGAGCACTGTTACAGCCTCACTGTGGTGGCAATCCTGAGGTAACAAGCTACATCTCCTTGTTGCCTCAGTCCTCTCAGGCCAAGCCTCCCCTCAACTCCCCTAAATCTTTCCACATCTTGGGTTAGCTTTGAGCCCTGTCATTCCCACAGCACATCTTGCTGATGGCTATAGGCACTGCTGGCTCTTCCTTGGGGCCCAGGTAGGTCTGCAGAGCACTCACTGGGACCTTGTTTCACACCTTCCCACCACTGCTGGAAAAACTGTCCTATAGCAGTGCATGCAGTTGTGCACTTGAGTGAGAACTGATGAACCAGGCAAATTGAGCTTTAAAGCTTTCTGTGTATTTAAACTAAGACAGTTCCTGTCAGCAGCTTCTCCTGAGGAACAGAGCACAGCTCTTCTTGAGGTGAGGACAAGGTCTGCACCACGTTCTGCCAGGGTCCTGGTGCTTTCTGCTGTGGCAGACATTCCATTGTGACCCCAAAATGAAACCAGTACAGGTACCAATTGCCCTGCCTCTGTGCATTTTTTCTGCTTATTTGAAACCTTTCCCCATTTCTCCAGTCATGGGTGCACGTTTGATGCCAATTTCAGTTCCCATTCACCTCAGCTGGAAAGTTACTGGCCAGAGAACACAGCCAGACAGTGTGATTCTTCTGCCTCCTCCAAACAGTCTGTCTCTCAAAGCCTTGAAGCTACAAATCCTGCTGTTCTCTCTGTCCAGACTCCCACACTGTGATATCCAGCATTTGCCTCTTTTCTAAAGCAGTCAGTTTGATTCTACCACAATTGAGATAGGCCTGATTTACCTTGTATTTCCTGATCACAGCTGATGATTCAGGAAGATTTGCTGTTTCAGCAGAATCTGATAACCTCTGAAAAATAAAATAGAACATTACATTTAAAAAAAAAAAGAGAAGAAGAATTACCATATGGGGACGATACAGAGCAGAACAAGACCTTAGGATTTTTTTTAAACTTTGTGCCAGCTGAGAGTTAATGATCTTATCCTCCATTCTTCACTTAGACCACATTCTTACTGCTAGCTACACATTTCTCTCCAGTGTTTATTCATGGTTAAAAACCCAACCATTGGTTTCCAGAGCCACTGGCTTTGTTTTTCCAAAGGCTTCTCATGCACTTTCAAATTTCAGATGGTCACTAGAAATTTCAGCTTGTAAGATGATTCTTGGCTAGAAAACAAGATCTCATTTTCTTCCTAACCACAGATCAGTTTTGAGGTCTTTAACAGATCAGTCTCATGTCCTCTTAACAACTGCCAAGGTTTTCCTAAAGAATGTTTCTTGTCAACACTAGCTGCTGTTTCTTGAGCAAAGCTAAGCTGGTGCAAGGTTGTGAGAGCACTTACCACTGAAGGTGACTTTAGCTTCTTCTTAATCCCAAGGTCCTTCTCTGTGATGGTGAATTCCACAGCCTGCCGTTCCTTCTCCTTTTCCCACTCATGCAGGTCCCTCTCATACTGAACCAGGGACTCCTGGATGTACACCTATGAAACAAACCATAACTGAAGGGAGCAGGGCTAGAAAAGAGTTGAAAATAGCAGTCCTTGGCTCAGGTCTATGCCGGTTTGTCCCCTTCAGGAGGTCTCAGGAAGAAACCCACTTGCTTTCCATGTATTCCAGTGGCAGGAAGAGGAAAGCACAGTGGTATTTTAAATCTCAGTCAGAGAAGATATACTCTCTTGCCAAAGAAAACTTGGAAAGTGTTGAGAGGGACACTACTGTTGGTCTGTTCCCCCAATATTATCAAAGCAGCGAGACTTGTTTTTTACAGCTATCAAGTTTTTGGCATCCACTGAAAGTCATTCCCATTCAAACCATCACTTCTAGCAGCTGGGCTCCCCCCACGAAGCCATGCATTGCACAATTACACTTCATCTAGTGAACCACAGAAGAAAGATGCTTAAAGCACCAGGAAGGATGAAGCTAGGTGTCTTCAGAAGTGAGAAGTGTGTATCAAAGAAGGATTCCTTCAGCTGGAAGCAGCAGACAGCTGACTGCTGGGGTCAGCCATTTGGGAACCACAGTAACATGCCCAGGTCATGGTAACTGGGTCTCACCTCACACACCAGATTTATTCTGCAGAAGTAGGGATTCCCTGTAGGCTGCAGTGTGACAAAGCAGGGGATACTCTCTCCAGGCTGTGCAACCCCTGACTCTGGAGCAACCTCCAACACCTGGGCAAAGGGCGGGAGGAGGAGAACAAAATTAAATTAAAAAAGAAAAAAAAACATATGAACTATTTCACTGTCCTGAGACCTTCCTGTGTGCTTTCTCTTCTCAGGGAACACACCTCTTCTCAGAGGTATGTGGCATGAGAGAGATGCAGTTGATATATTCCAAGAACAAACATAGCCTTTGATGGTGGACAGAGTCCTGAGGTTTGTTATCGCATTTTGTAGTTCCAACTTCACATAACCTCACCAAAGTCTTTGGATTGCCCTTCTGAATTCTTGTTGTTCCCTCTGTCCTAACCCTTGCCTTCACTTTTCCTTTCATCACCTAGGAGAAAGTCAGTTTCCTAGAACTGAGTGTTGTGTTGAAAATGGAGCTGTAAGGTCCTTTCATGGCACAACAGAGACAGCCAGGAAGGCTGTAGATCGAAGAGGACTCACCATTTCTTTACAGGAGTTTAACTGCCAGGTAAACACCACTGCCTTGCTCTTCGAGATATTGTTGAGAAAGACAAGTCGACCAGCTTTGGTGCAGTCTGGGATATTTCCAAGGCAAATCCTGTGATGGGACAAGGTGGCTGCCTGCAGGAAACAAGGAGAAACCTTGAGAAGGAACAGCAGGGAAGGAAGATGGGACCTAGCCATTGGGGAAGGGGAGTCATACAGTCATCTCTAAGTCATACTCTAAGTCCAGCAATTCACAGATA